AGGCTGCCAGAACCGCTGCACTGGAGTGCGCCTCAGAGATTCGAATCAATGTATAAGTCGTTTAGGGATGCTTAGGACATATGATACCAGGGCTTAAAGGCTTGGGGTTTAGGGTGTATGATACAATTCAATAACTATGTACGGGGACCAAAAAGGAATTCTACAAGAAATTCGTCAGACCTCTACATTAATGTCAGAATTTCGATTAAGGGCTCCATTTGCATTTTGTGGGCGGGTGGGGGGGGGGGGGGGNNGGGGGGGGGGGGCGGGGCCGTAAGGTTCTCGGTTGACAGAAGGGGTTTTAGATTTAGACGGTGGTCCAAACAGGAGGGCCTTTAGGGCTTTAGGGGTTAGGATGTGAATGCAAACTCGTTTAGCCTACATAGACGAGAAGAAAAGGGTGTGGTCCTCGTCATTCTTGACAAAGCCGGCAGAAACCAACAAACCATGAAGTACCATCTGTCGCTGCTGTCAACCATATGCCGCCCTCCCTCCCGATCCAAAAAACCTCGAACCCTCAACCCTGAGCCGCATATATATATATATGTATATCTAGTATGTGTGTGTGTATATATATATATATTCATTATACACAGTCTCGCCAAGTCCAGAAAACAAAAACATGAAGCTACTTGAGAAGGCATGGCACTGCCACGGAGCGCCGCCTCGCTTGCTGCAAGCCTTCGTTCACGTGTTCCAACCATTTGCATGCTTTGGGAGTTTGGGGGGGGGGGGGGTAACGGTATACATACTACTCTATTAAGAGTTGGCTATTCTACATAAAATCAGGGGGTTTAGGCATAAGTATGGAGTCATAGACCGAACCTGCTTGCCGAAGAGGTTTTCGACTTCGATCAGGATTGAGTCGAAGCCGAGGCATGAAGGGAAATGTGGCACAAGAAGTGTCAATGTAGGGCTGCGAACGTCAAATGAAAGCTGACTGCTACGTCATGCAGTGAACTAGGCTGCACCACCACGACTCCTACTTCAGAGGGCCGTGCGGAAACATAGCGCTTGCATCTACTTCTGAGGACCGCGCGCAACCATACACATGGGGACGGAAATCGAACCGGGGAGTGCACCCAAGCTGAATCAAGAATCGAGTGAGTGTAGTGGACCAAAAAACTGTATCACCGTGTCCCGACACGAGGCAGTCCCAAGCCAACTCTACGGACTCTACCGGAACCAAAAACCCAAAAATTTCTAATTTTGCCAAGAATACGCTGCAATAGGACACACCCATACGACCCGGTGTCAGCAATGCCAAACCACACTGTTTGTTTTGTCGAAAGTGCATATCAACCACAGGGAAGACATGTAAATCGAAGAAGGATTTAATCTTTTGGTCCCAGGGAGAATGCTCTGTCAGGCTCTGTAACTCCTGCGACAAGACGGAACAAAAAGCTGCGCAAAACCCAATGCTCTTAGCAATCTAACTTAACTTTGCTGTCTTTGCAAAGGCACCCTGCAACGGTGGCGAAGATCAAGCTGCGGAAGGCCATTGCTTCAAGCGAGCCTCAGGCTGTTTGCTGTTATTGGGGAATATGTGTGTGAGTTTGGGGTTCCTTCCAACTGGCTTTATTTATAGTTCAATCTTTCATGTCATGTCACAGATGACGCTATACGCACTACATGATGTACCGGCGAGTGCAACAGACAGTGGAATATGGAATGCCCGTGGCATACTGACACCCTAAATATTTAAATCCTCCCAAACCCAAACCCCTGAACTGTAGAATCTTTGAGATTTGACCCCGCGAAAGGTTTGCATCAGTGTCCTTTGCAATCGATCCCAAAGCCCGAAACCGAAACCCTTGGGAACCGTGTAACTGTGATGTGTACTACTAGCCATTCAATATTGGGCCCTAAACCCTAAAGCCCCAAATTAGTCCCTCAAGACGCCATCCAAGATAACCGGGTCGTGCCAGGTTGTGTTGTTTCGGAAATAAGACAAGCCTGTTGAAAAAGGCCAAGCTTGACAGTATTTCTGCTTCAAAGCCATGCGACCTTCCTTACCAATTTCGGTTTCGGGTGGGTTTCTCAAGACTTCGTCGGCTCTGACCTCTAGCTGCCGACAGTCCAGAACCTGACAGAAAGAATGCAAACGATGAAGAAGGCCAGGAAGCAACAAAGAAAAGCCAAGATGGTCGCGCGAATGCCGGGCCGGGTGGATGATCCCAAAAGTGCTTCGGATGACTTCGGGATATTCCGGACATTCAAGAGAAGAGGGTTGTTTAGAGGTTCAGGTTCAGGTGCAACATCGCGATTGGCAATCTACTGGTTTCAAGCTATAGCTTCCGATCGAACATGAAGGATGGAAGCCTTAACTGGAGGGACCTTTGGGTTTATGGTTAGAATAAGGGTTTGGGGTACACTTTCGTAAAGTAAGTGGAGCCGCCAACTATAAGCCCATGATACAGCATTACTTTCAATAATGCCATGGGTGTTATGCGGCAGCAAGAGAAGGAGCAAGATTTCCGAAAGAAAACCTGGAATCGTCCAAGCCTCCGTAAATTTGGCTTTGGTTACTGTTGTTCTTGTTTTCCTGCTTTGCCCTCACCGTGAATCAGGTTTCTGGCTTCCGGCAGTTCTTCCTCTCGGAGTCTTGGGTTCTCTTGAGCCACTACACTATCACTACCAGCTTGCCTAGCACCATCACAAAGATGGGGGCTTGGGGTCTTCCCCTCCCTCTTCACTGTACCGGTTAGCCGCTGTGGGCATCTGCAGTTCTGGTTGCAGGGCCTGGATGTAATTGCAGGGCTGTTGCACTCAGGGCTTGTGTGTAAGGGAGGGGTTGCCGTGCAGGCGTCACAAACAGCCACGAAACATCCATTTTCGACTGCGCTTGGTGAAACCTCTGTCTGACCCAGCCTTCTTGGAGGCTCTGGAAAAATGCATGCTAGAGCATGCGTCGCTCTTCAGGGACTGGGGCCAGGCCCCAGTCCCGCTTCAGCCACATGCTTCGGCCTGGGTCGTTACAGCTTAACATAGGAGATCGCGTTTCGAGCTTGGGCCATCTGACAGCACTCGCGGTTTCAACGGGATCAACCCTATTGACCAGCTTGGTGCGTTGCCTGGCCCTCGCTGCACCCCCTTCTGCGATGGCAGGAGAGGCGCACCTGCCACGCACACATGTCACGGGGGTTTGCAATCCTGTGGCTCTCGATGGTCGGATTCTGCTTCTAACTTTTCCTTATGGATTGTGGCTTGTTGCGTCCAGGTACTTGCATTCGCCGAAGCCTTTCCGGAAAGCTTCAGGTTGGAGGCCGGAACATCCACATACGTCTGAAATGTTAGCGATGCAGCGCAGTTATTGCGACCCCCCCCCACCCTCCCGCCAGACAAGCTAAACCCTAAACACCAAAAACAATAAACCTCGAAATCTAAACCCCAAGCCGACGCCTAGCCAAGCCTGCGCCAGGTAAGCTCGGCTCGAAAATGAATGAGCCCTGTGACAAGCCCTAAACCCCGTAAACTATAAACCGTGAAGTCTCAATCCCCAAACCTTGCCCCATGACACCAAAGTCAAGACACCCTAAAGCCCGCAACACAATCCCTTTACAGCACTGTTTATTGACTTGTAGGTACTGCCATCTGCAGCGTGAAAGGAACCTTCAGGAGCAGCGCTCGCCTTGTCTGCAAGGCGAGAAGTGTCTGCTTATGGGTCTGCTGTTCTAGAAGGCTTATTATAAGGCTTGTATAAGGTATACAGGCTTTTGGGCTTTGCACACGGGGCTTATAGACATTGTGACTCTACGTGCAGGGTTTCCCGCTTTTCCGGTTTAGAATGGCATTTCTATAGTCTTCAGTGACCAAGGCCTACGGATTCCGAGAGCGGCATCATCTTCATTAGCATACTAGCGTCCCGGAAACGCAAACGCAGCAGAGCTGCTGCACCCATGAAGTGCGTGGCTGGATGCCTGAGGGCAAGCGTGCGCGTGTCGACGCGTGATACAAAGGCTTATGTGACTAGATCCAGGTTCTGCAGCGGCTTCATTCGCTAAACCGTTGTTTGTTCGCAAAAGTCGGGTTTTGGGCCCGGTTCTCGTCGGACTGCTATACTTAAATAAAAGTTCGAGAAGACAGGCCCCCCAAACGAGCGCCACACGGTCAAACTGATCCTGTACAGCTGGGGGCCTGATGCATTCGTGACATACGGATGCCTCTGAGGGTTCCCCTATACTGTTGAGGTGTAAGACCCGGCCCTTTTTGAAATCAAGCTGTTAGGAAACTTATTTACACTTATAAAACGATCCGATGAATATACGACAGCCGTATGGTACAGTGTTCAGAATTTACAAATATCCTTCTGAAGCGCTTGCCTGTACGGTGGCTTACTGTTGCTTCAAACACATATAAACCACCACATATAAACCATACTTGTAGCCCTGGCCCAGTGAATTCTGGTAAGTGGGCTTCTGGGGCATATGAGGCCTCGACCCGCAGTCTGCTTGTCTGTCGAGTGGCGGCTTCATGTACTCCTCGAGG